GTATTTGATAATGTTTTGAACTTTTAAAAGACTGCATGGTAGAACCAGAAGCTGCTCTTCATATTAGTGACATATTAGTGATTAGTGATTTTTGTTTCTACTTTTCATTTAAAACATGTTTAAATTCTCAGCAGGTTTCTAAGTTTCTTCTTCTGCATATTAAAAAAGTTGTTAAACATCTGAGTGGTGCACTACTGCTACTAGTGGYGAGAAAGTGTATTGCACCTTATTTAAAATCAATGYRGGCCCACGGCCCTCTGCGGCCTGAAGATAAAACCTGTTGTTCTTTTGGGGCCCTCAAGGTGGCGCTCACGGCCCAAATGTTAAGAATCTCTGCTTACTTTACAACCCTTTCAAAGTAAAATACAGCGAAGTGTTCAGGTGTGGAGCTACTACCTCTGTTAAAACATCAGACCCCCCCAGGTCACATGACTGACTCTGCACTTTTAAATTTTTGTCTCGTCCCTGCTGTAGGACAGTTGGTTGTCCCTCAGAGCTCTCACCCAAACTTTTATTGACTTCCTCAGTGTCTGAGCTCAGACACGTTACAACAGGAAGTGGCTGCTTTTATTTTGTTCTTGTATTTCCTCCATAAAGCCCTGTAGAGACCGTTTCTGGCAGTTTGACAGGACGTCTGTCTTCTGTTTTTGTCCCTTCAGGACATCAGGAAGTGCTTGGCGGCGTTGGACCAGCTCAGCAGGCTTTATGTGACGTCTCAACAGGTCCAGAGGCACAGCGAGCTCATCGCCACGCTCAGAAAGGTCAGTTACTGTTCGTACAAAAAGTAACATCAAACTGCACCAAAATATTTCTCTTTCACTTCTTCTTTATTTGCAAATGATGGTGGAAAATAAGGATTTGGTCAATAAGAAAAGTGAATCTCATACTGTTATATATCCTTTTGTTGCCAAACAGCCCCACAGCATGATGGTGCCACCCCCATRCTTCACAGTAGGTGTTCATTTGATGCWACTCAGCATTCACTCTCCTCCAAACATGAYGAGTTGTTTCCACCAAACACTTCTACTTTARTTTCATCTGACCRWATGACATTCTCCCAGTACTCCTCTGGAACATCTAAATGCTCTGCAGCAAACTTCAGGTCTGGATAAGTCCTGGCTGAAGCGGGGGGGGGTGGGCACTGCAGGGTCTGAGTCCCTGGTGGTGTAGTGTGTTACTGATGGTAGTGTTTGTTACATTAGTCCCAGCCTCCTGCAGGTCTACAGTTTGTTTCTGGTGTCTTACACAACTCTTTGGTCTTCACCCTGGTGGAGTTTGGAGTGTGACTGTTTGAGGTTGTGAACAGGTGTGTTTTATACTGATAACAAGTTCAAACAGGTGCCGTTACTACAGGTAATGAGTGGAGGACAGACGAGCCTCTTAAAGAAGTTACAATCTGTGAGAAACAAATCTTGATTGTTTGTTATTGACCMAATACTTATTTACCACCATMATTTACAAATAAATTMTTTGAAAATCCTACAATGTGACTTACTGGATTTATTTTTTCTCATTTTGTCTCATAGTTGAGGTTAACTTATGATGAAAATTATAGACCTCTCAATATCTTCCTAATGTGCACAATCAATAACGCACCAAATACTGTTTGGCTCCACTGTGTGTGTGTGTGTGTGTGTGTGTGTGTGTGTGTGTGTGTGTGTGTGTGTGTGTGTGT